TAAAATAAAAAAAATCGGTTCTAATACAATTAATAAGTATAAACCAAAAAACTAACAAAATAATAACTGTGCCTGGAATAAATTCTGAATAAACTAGTTGCTAATAACAGATTAGCTATTTGTCAACAAACTCCAAAGTTATCACAACAGACATGTATACTAGAATGCAACTACAACAAACAAAATGTAAAGATGTTCTCAAAGGAACATCTTGAAGGCAAAGATTATATCATCACAAATTTAATGACCAGCTTCCATCAATGTCACAGTGTAATGTAACAAAAGTTGAGCACCAACAAAGCAATCTCACCAAAATGGAATAATGTTTTTTTCTAAGATAATACAGCACAGATTAATGCAAGGTAAACAAAGGTAGTAACATGCTTACTTTGTTAGGTCTACATATGCATGTTCTTCAACAGCATGTTGTGCACAAGTGTTTGCTACAATAAGGTGACGCAAGTAATGCATGTAACATAGACAACAGTGACACACTTTGCACAAGTTGCCAATTATTGAGAACATTTACAACCACTACATAAACAACAACTATTTAAAAATAGCAATAGCTATATGAAATAGTGCTATATGCAGTGGTAATAAATACTGACTACGTACTCACGTTTTCAAAAATATACGATATAGTAGAAAGGATCACAACCATCTCCCAAGTAGGGAAATTTTTTGCAAAATTTCTGTGATCCCACAGTACAGTGGATATCACATACAATAATTTTATAGTGGAGTCAAAATACGGATTTCTAGCTTGAGCAGACTGTCAGCAGTAGATCTCCAGCCTTGCTTGCTTATTTTTTTCTTCTGCGGTCTCTATTTGTAGATTTTAAATTCCCACCCTTTAATTTTTTTTTGTGTTGAAATTTTTAACACATCAATGGGCAAATATATGCCTAGAATAAGACATCCTCAACTATGCAAGAATAAAATTTTACCAGTTGAGAAGCAGCATTTTCAAATAATACAAATACGACTAAAACATCACTTTAAATAAAACTTCGTGTCTTTTAAAGTAATTATTTACTAAGCCAGGTGACTTTGTGCAGCCACTCAGAACATCATATCTATTATATATTTATAACAACGTAAATGAACTTTAAATGAAAAATAATCAACTTTTAAATAGGTCATGGACATTTGCAGTGCTTTGTAGAGTATAGCTGTCTAGGTTTTGGTGGCAAATACCCAGCCAATTTTGCTGTAGGCTTGTGAAACAATAAAAATATGAACAAAGGTTCCAATTTTGATTTTGTCTAACAATCGTGAAGTCACTTATTTTGCTTTTTATCAGTATTGAAAATGAAGGTTTTGAGTGTTGTTTCAAGAATAAGTCACTTTTTTTAAGGTGGTTTTTTCCCTATTGGTCTTTTAGAGTTTTGAGTAAATTCCTGTGTTATCCCTATTATGAAACACTATCATGGTCCATGATAGAAAGTTTTAATGCTACAAAAAGTAATGAAACAAGAAAGTCAAAACTACAAAAACTGAGTTACTTAAAATTAAAAAAAATTTAACCATACTTTGGCTGAGAGTGACATAACTACAGCGATTTGCCAAATTAGGGATAATTTTTTTAAATTTTAAGTACCTCAGTTTTTAACTTTTTTGTTTCAATACCTCTTGTAGCATTAAAACTTTACATATTATTATAGCTAGCTAGGCTACATATATATCGATCCCTACTTGTCTTTATAAAATATTAATTTTTTTGGTATACTTGTTTCCTTTTTATTAGCAAAATTTTTGTGCCCAACAATACCAAACGTGGGGCGCACGTATAACCAATCTGGAAAAGTCACTTACTTACTTTATTGCCTCAGCCACCGAAGCTGGACAAAGGTCATGTTTTCACCCCTATGTGTATGATTTGGTCATGATATAAAATACTGTTTAGTTTAGGTAGTATTAATTAATTTATTTTGTGAGTTAATATTTTACGATTGTTTAGTGTGTTTTTTATAATAATAAGAGAGTTAAAAGCAGACGATTTTTGGAAGTTGTGTTTATAATTCATTTATGTTGAGACTATTGAATACTGTATGCACAACACTGAAGTTGAGAAAATAGAGATTTCTAAAAGGAGGTCAGACAATTAAGTGATAAACATATAAATAGCATGAGACAAGTGGATGCAGCAGACAGAACAAATTGAGAAAGTAAACTCACAGGAAGGAGAAGTGCATCCAAAGGAAAGGTTAGAAAAGGTAAAGTTAACTGTCATAGGAGTGAATAGCCTAACAGTTGATATGTTAAAGTGAAGTTAACAGTTTTGACATTTTAGGAGAATAATTTCTTTTGTCAAAGGGTATTCTAAAGCAACTGAACCTGCCTGTGTGGACTTTGACAAAAAAACAAAACAAAAAAGCAGATGAGTATTGGAAGTTCAGGATACAACTGCAGTAACTCAACAAGGCAAAATAAGTGAATTATACATGGAATGCTTGTGCAATAGAAATATAGTTTGACTTGTCAACTGAAATTCTAAAGCGACTGAATAGGCCTAAGTGGACTTTTGACAAGAAGAAAACTATGTATGTATATATATACATAGTGTTTATGATATGCCTTGATCTCTATAGTGTAACGAATTTGTTGTACATACATTTAACCACTTCGTGTATGTGTGTATATATATATATATATATATATATAT